ATTAATCTGTTCATCTGAAGTCTTGGGAGTCAAGACGAAGTTCTGCCATTCACCAACAAACTGTTCTGCTCAGGCTCTCTTCCTCTCCAACCAGATGAACTAGTTTTCTGCACATTAACTTTACCCTGTCTGATCTGCAAACCTTTACACACATAAGTGACCAAGCCTACAGTGTCTGTAAACCACGCAAGACTCCCTCCTATAAAAATGTCTCTAAGACTCCAGCCCTCAACATCTGCTAACTAACCCCAGGAGTGCTAGTCTACAATCTGCTACTTTTCATCCTTCCTATTTCATCACCGGCCTCAGGAGAGCGGAAGACAGCCGTGCACAGGTCTGTTGTGCATGCTGCCACCTACTTGACAATCTGCACCTGACTTAAAGCGCTGCCCTGAGCCAGGAGATGAGGGCTGCTGCCTTCCCCAGGCTCAGACTTCAGTTTCACATCAGAAAAACTCCCCCAACATAAAAAAATGAACTATGTCTTCCTTGATATACACTTTGGCAGCTGATGAATATGAGACTGAAGCTGACACTCCCATGGAATGAAAACACATGTTAATTTGTGTTACTCTGAGATAAGTAAATACCACCTTCCTTGAACACAAAGCAAAATGACTGAACACCTTTCATTATGTTTTTCATGCACTTCTCACATGTAATAATGAAGCCCTTTGGTTAACTAACTAAAGCTAGAGAGCCAAATAGTACATGTCTGTTCAGAAGTTTTTGCCCTAGAATAAACTCAGCCCAAGGTCATTGAGTTAGAAATTTTACAACAACAAGAAACTGACCTCCTTTCTCATATCTACACAAAGAGCTCTATTAATCTCTAAGAAATGAACCAGATTAAAACTCAGGACTCCCCCAAAAGTACTTATTTTACTAATAATCCAAACAGATTCTTTTCCCCTTCTTCTTGTCTTCTCCTTTATTTACAGACTTTTTCAATGGCCTCAGGTAATTCTGGCCCAGTGAACCAACCACAGCAACTTTCCAGCTGGCAGAGAGAAAAAATAAAGGCATGAACAAGAGTTCAGAGCATCACTGTTAGTTCCCCTCTGGTGCTCTTGTTATGGCAACAGCATACTTTTCCACAGCTGATGATGCTCTTATGCAAGGCGGGAAAAGGGCAGCAAGAAAGGCTAAAAGAGGTCTCTATGTTTCTGCTAATTCCCCAGAGCACAAGTCTCCATGAAGGACAGTTGAGAATTTACGAAAAGAATAAGGTAGCAGAAAGAATCACATTAGCTAGCATTCAAGAGACAGAAAAGTCTCTTTAAATATTTGGAAAACGTCCTTTCTCAGTAAAATAAATGTCTTATGATAGTGAAGGAGGAAACTGGGATAGGAGAGGACACTAAATTTGAGGCTACCTGCTGCTATTAATTAGCAGTCTGACACTCGCTAACAAGCTATTTAATTTTTCTGAGCCTCAGTTTCTCTCAGCTAACCAGAGTGTCATTAAAGTGAAGCGAACTATAATAACTTTACCTTCCACTGAGGCTAGGAATAGCTTCTCAAAGAACCAAAATTAAAGTAAAATCAAAGGGCATTTTTTTTGGCCTGGAATTTATTGTAACAAAAATTTTCCTCTTCCCTAATAATTAGAAAAGTAACATGAGAAATTTAAGAGGTTACAGCAAGTGTGTTTTCACCCACTTCTCGTTTCTCAAACCGCAGGAAGGCAACTTTGAGAAACCTTTTCAAGGGTAGACTATATTCTCTGGTCCCTAATGAATAAAGAACTAAAGGTGGTGGTGGTGGGGGGGAGGGGGAATCAAATGTCCTTGCCCAGTGTGATCATTTAGGGCAGGAGTGTCAAACTCATTTTCACTGGGGGCTGCATCAGCTTCGAGGTTGCCTTCAAAGGGCCAAATATAATGTTAGGACTGTGTAAATGTAACTATTCCTTAACTGTTAAGCGAGAGCTCGGCACTGCCGCTGGGTAGAAACAAGGTGCCAGGCCGGATAAAACAAGGTGGAGGGCCAGATTCGGCCCGCGGGCCTTGGGTTTACCGCCTGTGATTTTGGGCATTCAGCACACCAACTGTTACTCTGGAATGCTCTGACACGTGTAGCATACTCCTGAGACAGGAAATGCTAATTCCCTTCCTTACCAGTAAATAGAGATTTCCAACACAAGTCTACTGACTCATTTTTCTAAACGTTTTCAAGTCTGAAATACATAAGCTAGCACTTAACTCTATTCAATTTTTTTGTTCTAAAACTAATAATCTTATCCATCCTCAACACTCATCAAGAAAATGAAGACCATTCAGAGCAAGGACTGCATATCCTACTTTAATGTCTGTGAATCCCTTCTGTGCACTGCTCTGCATTGGGCCCACAAGGCTCACTTAAGACATCTAACAGCATTAATTCAGTTGTCTGGAGGAAATGGAATAACAACAAACTATCCTACCTTGGTTCTGGGAAATAAAATTACATGGGGACAGGGAAGAAGAATGTAGCAAGAGAAATGAACAAATCATAAGGGGAAAATTAAATCAGTAAGTTATTGAACAGCTAAACAGCACTGTGTTAACTGTTATAAAATAGTGGTTAAATCCAATTGCAACAGTGCTATACTCTCTACACACATTAAGTAAGTCTTTGTGTTAAAAATCCAAAGAGCACAATGTATTCTACCAATAAATACAGGCTTAATGTAATAATATATGAGCTAACATGACAAGTATTTAAATCTGAAACAAACAAACAAACAAAAAACAGTGTAGAAACTATCCGGAGACAGGTTAAGTGATATTTGAGAAAGCAGTGGTGTGTGTTGGGAGGAAGGATAACTGAATCAGTAGTTCTGGCAGGTGTCTTCTAAGCATTTTCAGAACCAATCCAGACCATTAGACTGGATTCCATCTTTAAAGTAAAGCTTAAGGACTATGCCTTTATTTTAAAAGAAATATGCCAAAAGGATGCCCCTCTGTGTCTCTTCCCTCAGGGGAATAATGATTACTATTTAGCAGCAATTTTCGACAACTGGTGTGCTGCAAGAACTTTTAAAGCATGCAATATGCAATACCTGACTATTTAGTCAGGGGCACTGACCTCTTTTCCCTTAGATTGTCAAAAAAATGACAACAGCCAACACAACAATAGCCATCTGGTGTGAATGAACCAAAATTATATGTTTTTGTTGTTGTTAGATCAGCAAAAAATATTTTTGGTGTGCAGCGGAATTTTAGTGATTATGTGTGCCATGAGGTGAAAAAGGTTGAAAAATCACTACTATATAGCTAAAAGTTTAATCCCTTCCCCAAATACATAGCTCAGTTGCAAATGTTACTATGACATATGGTAAGCACAGAAATGTCTGTTGGAAGCACAGACATTTACTGACCACAAAGAATTCTGAAAGTTATAAATTCCTTTCCATCACCTCAGAAAACAATATCCATTTCTTAAAACTGTCAGTTCAAGTTCAAGGCAACACTATCTGGAGCAGATTCTGGTCTGCCAAACTCTTTCATGATTAAAAACATGCTCAGGGGTGGGCCTTGAATAGATCAGGTTAGGAGGGAGGTTTCTCCAATGAGGTAAGCCACCTCACTAAAAACTCCACTGTTCTGCAGTTCAACCTTCCTTAAACACAGCTCTCCATACACATTATGAACTTATCCTGCCTGGGTCACTTTAAAGTCTCCCGAGCCAGCCACCCCTTCCCTAGAATGGCCTGGCTAGATTCCTCTATGGAGCACTCAGATTTTTATCCCTTGTTGGCAAGGAGGTCTTCTTACTCTAAGGTTCCTTGCAATTGTGCAAGGGATTCAAGGATCGCCAAGGTCTAACTGCACAGGATTGTTTGCAGCACGACTGGCGAGCTCAGACCACAGGAACGATCTAGCAACCTCGGAGAATGCAGGGGCTGCCACTGCAGTCCCAGCCCTCTGGTGACCGGGCACCCCATCACCAAAAGAAGGCAAAGTTCTGAAGTTAAAAATGAAGCACCATTCCCTTCAATAAGGTCCCTCTTTCCAGTTTCCTCCCTTTGGAGAACAGCCCAGGCAGAGAACACACAACCTTTGAGCTCCCTTTTCCCGTGACCAATTCAAAACTTCACCTCTACCCCAGTGTGCTTCCTTGTAAACAGCTCCTGGTCGTACTCGGAAAGCAATGGCCAGGAACCTCCCTCTGCACTGCCCCTTCCTCAAAATCAGGCAATCCTACTGACCAGGGTGTCCTTCTTGATAACGGCCTCTTCGATCTATCTCCAAACGCGCCGCTACCAAAATCCTACCCTAAGTCTGCCGCGCTCTACCGCCCCCATTTCCTTTCCTTTGGCTATCACTTGAGCATTACTTTATCACTTTCTCCGTCAGCCTGGGGACTGCCCCCGCCTCACCCGCCCCAACCCCGTGAGGCCTCGCCCGCCAAGTAAACAATGCTGTCAAAGCAGGATAGCGCTGGGCGAGGCTTCCACACTCCGCATTCCAGCCTCCTCGTGTTCTGAAAGCAGCAAAACAAGCCATCGCAAGGTCCCACGAGCGAATTACTCTTCCCAACTTCCTTTCTAAAAAGGCCTAGGAGACAGCTCCAAAATCAAGCATTAACGTGCACAAACGCACAGCATGTAAGCAGCAGAAGTAATGAGGAGGGAGTGCAAGGCCAAGTGTAGACGTATTTGCCCGGGAGGAGGAGGAGAGGGGGGAGAAAACTAGGTCGAGTGCATAAATCTGCCACGAAGCGGGAACAGGGGCCCTTTTCCCACCCGCGACAGGACAGCCACTCTTCCAGAATGGACGCGCGCCCAATCGAGTTTCGGGCAAGAGAGAATGCGAAGGTACCCGAAAGCAGTCCCACGGGGCTTTGGTGGAGCTGGGCAGGGTTGGGTCGGGAGAGTTGGCCCAAGGGAGAGGCCCAGCGTGGGCACGCCCTAAGTTAAAGGACCGCAGCGGGAGACTAGTGGGACAGAGGAGGCAGCCGGCTGCAGGCTCCGCGGTGTGGACCGCACGGTGCCGGGCGCCGCGGCGAGCGCTCACCTCCCGGTGTGGTGGAGAAGAGCGTCCCCCCAGGCGTGGTGCAATAGTCATGAGGTAGCTGCGCGGCGTCGCTGATGGGAACCGTGCGGGTGGGGATGGCGCGGCTCTGGCTGGGCTGGTGGCCGCTGCCGGCGGACGAGGACATGGCTCTGGGCGCGGGCTCTCGGGCTTTGTCCGGCGGGCAGGCAGGAGAGCAGGCAAGCGGGGGGCGGCGGCGGCGGCGGCGGCGGCTGGGGGCCCGGGCTACTCCGGGATCCTCAGGCGCGCGGGACAGCAGGCGGAGCTGAGCGCGCTCCGCTCGTTCCTCTCAGGCTTCCTCTAGCTCCTTCGTCCCGCTTCGCTCCCGCCGCCGCCCTCTCAGCCGCCGCCGCCGCCGCCGCCCGATCCTCCGGCCTCCGCCTGCAGCTTCAGCAGCAGCAGCAGCAGCAGCAGCAGCAGCGGCAGCAGCGGCGACGACGACAACCGGAAGCGGGCGAAGGCGGGAGCCAGAGGGAGTTCGGGGAAGGGGTTCTGCCGGAAGTGACGTTTGTGGGCGGGACCCCAGCTACGAGGGGTGGGGCCGTGGGCGGAGAAGACCGTTCCTCCCCACCTCTGCTCCCAGCCCGCCAGAGGCTAACGGGGGGGGACCTGCGCGTAGCTTTTGTGAGTCCCGTGAAGTTAGGCACAAAAAACTTTACTGGTTTTTCGTTTTTGTCAATCAGCAGTACTTTACTCGAGCCGACTTCTGCTTCCTAACCATCTAAACAAAAGTGTAGTTTTACTTCTAACTGCTGAATAATAAATATAGGCAATGCATGCATGATGTATTAAAAACTCAGAGCAGAAAGATTTACGGAGTCACAGCCTCCCAGTTTCCCAATACCTTTTTCCAGGGGGAAACACTAGTACCAGTTTATTGTGTATCCTTCTGGAGCCAGCCTCTATATACACACATAATGCAACAAAGAAGCATTAAGAAAAGAAAGAGATAACCGGTAATCACGATCCATGTCACAAGGATGAGTATTGAGTTAGAGATAAACTGAACACAGGGAAAGGTTAGGACCACGAGGTACCTGAAAAAAATCTAGATCTGAGACCCTATTCTTTCCTCCAGGAAGGAATCCTTTTTTAGTCTGAAAGTTTGGCCTCAAAGTTTACATTCTTAAAAATTATTAAGGATCCCAAAGAGCTTTTGTTTGTGTGGATTATATCTATTTACTGTATTAAAATTAAAACAGAATTTAAAAATGTTCTTTAATTTATAAAATGCCACTATATGTTAATATATTTTATTTTTAAATTTATATCCCCCCCCAAATAAGTGAGAAAAGTGGCATTGTTTTACATGTTTGCAAACATTTTAATGTCTGCTTGGTAGAAGACAACTGGAGTCTCACATCTCTTTCTGCGTTCAGTCTGTTGTGATGTATTGATTCAGGTATATGGAGAAAACCCAGACTTATACAGGTATGTAGTTGAAAAAGAGGTATGCTCACAGGTTTCTAGACAAGGTCTCAGGGACCTCCTCACCACAAGGGTTCTCCAGACCACGCTTTGGGAACTGCTGCTCTAAGCAGCATTGGCTCTGCCCACAATGTGCCCAAGACAGAATTGGAAAGATAGTTATGGGCACCTTCAACATAGCTATTTTCCCATTTTGTGAAGGAGGAAATGGAGGCTGAGACATGTGTTCAACCCAAGTAAAACAGCAACTCCTTCACTTCTCAGAGAGCCAAACTGACCATGTGAGCAGAGGGTTGAAACTTTCAGTCCCACACCCCTGATCTCTGGGGAGGGCAAAGGGACTGGAGATTGAGATCACCAATGGCCCATGATTCATCAATCATGCCTTTGTCATGAAGACTCCATAAAAACCAAAAAGGACTGGAGGCTGGGAGAGGAGTCTGGAGAACTTCCAGGTTGATGAACACTTGGAGATTTGGAGAGGGGGCACACCCAGAGAGAGAGTGAAAGCTCTGCACCCTTACCTGGTATCTTGACCTATGCATCTCTTCCATCTGGCAGTTCCTAAGTTGTATCCTTTTATAATAAACTAAGTTATATCCTTTTATAATCTAGTAAGTAGAATGTTTTCTGAGTTCTGCAAGTCACTCTAGCAAAGTAATTAAACCAAAGGGCGGAGTAATTGGAATCTCCAATCTACAGCCATTCTATCAAAAGCATAGGTGACAACTTGGGCTTGTAATTGGCATCTGAAGTGAGGGAGCAGAGCACAGTCTTGTAGGACTGAGTCCATAACCTGTGGGATCTGACACTGTCTCCAGGTAGTTAGTGTCAGAATTGAGTTGAATTGTAGGACACCCAGCTGGTGTTGCAGACTCGCTTGGTGGTGAGGAAAAAACCCACACATTGGAACTGGGAGAAGAATCTTATCTTTGAATGTTATCTGGGTCTTTGGGGACTGGGAAGCTGCCGATACAATTGGGACCTCACAGACACAGTCCCCCTAGATCCATAACTGATGTACTGCTAGGATTGAACATGTAAAATATATCATATCGGAGCAGCCCTTTCTTGGAACTTTGAACATTTATTAGTATAACTTGAGTTTTAAAAAATGAAAGTGGCCTGAGTGTCTCCAGCCCAGGCGTGCTCTTTCTATAGTCTGTTATCCCACTATTTAACCCCCTTGGCTTCCCAAAACTCACTCTTTCCGACTCCCCTGTAGTCACCTTGTGCTCTATTCTCTCTGGTTCTGTCTTTCCCAGGGGCAGAGGAAGGCTGTTCCCCACCCTCTATAATAAGGCCACCCACACTAGATCTGTATCATCATAAATAGCCCATTACCTTTGGATAACACTTTTCCAAAGCACTTTCAGACCATTATCTCAAGTTAAGCTGAGCCACAGCTCTGTGATGGAAGCAAGTACCTTATTATTCTTATCTATCTTCCGTAGATAAACTGAGGCTCAAAGAGGTTATGACTTTTATGACGTCACACAGCCAGGACCCATACAGCTGGGACTTGTGCTCAAGCTTCTGGCTGGCCATCCTTTGCTCTTTCTCCTGCACCTGCTGGCCTCCTGCATTAAAAAGAGGACAAGATGCTCCCTGGGCACCCGCTCTTTATTGTCACATCTACTGAACTCATTGGGGGATGAGCAGAATCCATTTCCTGAGCTCCTAAATCATAAGAGACAGAACATGTTCAAAAGGTGGTGATAATTATAGATAACATATAGGCATTTAGGCTGAGTCAGGTGCTTTACTAGGCCTTCTAGAGATCTTATCTCTAATACTCCTAACTGCCATAAAAGGATAGGTGTTATGCCTATTTACAGATGAGGAAGTAGCCTCAGAGAAGCTAGTTTGCCCAAGGTCACCTGCTGTATCTCTAGAAATTCTCTAGCCCCTCACTGTGGTCGGAAACAGTGCACTGTGCACAGAGTTCGACATCAGACATGCCTTGGGTCAAATACTTGCTCTCCACCTGCCTGCTGTATGACTGTGAGCTCTGAACGTGTTCTCACACCTGAAAAATAAAAGAAGGAACCTCTCATTTACAGAGTGCTCTCCAGAGGACTAAATATCAGACCCAGCTATGGTCGGGCTGATGGGAATGGTGGTTAGGCACCAATCAGGTCCAGGAAGGTGCCAATGGCCATGAGGCTGGGAGAAGAGGACCAGGTAGGAAAGCAGCATGTGTGCCAGAGGGGACGGTGCTTCAGTCTCAGCATTTTCTCCTTTGTTATTCTTGTCAGGTGATGCCGGCAAAAGTCTGTAGTTGTAGATTTCAGAAAACAAGGAGTGGTTTCTTCAAAATTCCTTAGGCATCATAAAGTCCTCCATTGAAGCCAATTTATTATCTGCCTGTTTACTACAATTCAACACCTTTGTGTCTGTCTGTCTCTCTTTCTCCACATCCCAATATTTAGTAGAAGATTCTTCATAGGGTACAGCCCTCCCTATATTACCTCTGGCCTGCAAGGTGAAAGTGGACAGTATGCTTAAGGCCACACTGCATGCAGTGGCATGTGCCTGGTTTTAATAGCTTGAGCTCCAACCAGAGAGAGCACTTTTGACATGGAAATGCACTGTCATCCAAACAGCAAATGGTGTACGATGCTTGCTCTGTGCCAAGCCACAGCCCAGAGGCATGGCACATGGTTTACAGAGCTTGCGAGCCAAGAGTGGGTGCTCACCAAGTTGAGACAGGTGCTCTGGCCCCAGGAGCTTTTGCCTTCTCTTGGGTGGAGCTGAAGGTTTTCAGAGGAATTCTTTATGATGACTGGGTGGGCCCTGTCGGGTTCAGAGTAGAAAACTCTGACTTGATGGCTGGAGATCTGATTCTCCATGCAGGCTCTGGACAAGCTACTTGGCTTTCATCCATCAACTAATTCATTTACTCAGCTCCTGGTGTGACCCTGCTCTAGATTAAGGGGCAAACAAGGGCATAACTCATGGAGCTTCCACCCAACCATGGGATTCACCTGCCTTCATAAAAATTCCTTGCATCTAGTTCTTTGGCCAGATTTGGATTGGGTTATTCATCCATCCACACTGAATTAGGCTCTGAAGCCCTGGGGTAACAGTAGCTGGCAGTGTGTATTGGATTGTATCATCACCCTCTTTTCATGGCTTCCCCTTACTCCTGGAATCTGTTCTGGCCTCATTTCCTACCTTTCTTCCCCTCACTTAATGTGCTGCTTGTTCCTTAAATAGACCATATTCCCACCTATCACAGGGCCTTTGCACATGCTAGTCCCTTTGCCTGGTTGTTCACTGTGGTGACCAGATATTAAGGTGACCCACATGATCTTCACTTCCCGGTGTTCAGGTCCTTGAGTGGGGGCGGAACCTGTGGCTTGCTTTTAAACAATAGACTATGGCAGAGGTGACAGAATGTCACTCCTGTGGTTATGTTATGTAAGACTCCATCTTGCTAACAGACTCACTGTAGCCTCCCCCCATCCCCACTGCCTTTGCCGGCTATGAAAAAGCAAACTGCCACAAGTCCTGCAGTCACAAGGAAACAAATTCTGTCAACAAGCCAAGCGAGCCTGGAAGTGGACCTGCCCCCAGGTGCACAGCCAGGCCTCACACCTTGACCATGGCTGTGCAGAGCTGCCAGCGAAGTTGTGCTGGACTCTTGACCAATGAAGCTGTAGATAATAAATGCATTGTTTTAAGTTGCTAAGTTTGTTGTTAAAAAAAAGGCTGTGTAAATTTGTTACTGTTTTTATAGGCAACACAGAAAACTGCTCTACTTCCTAATATCTGCCTACTTGGCTCCTACCCCCTATCATTCCCACCTTACTCAGATGAATTTTCTTAGGGCAGCCTTCCCTACCTTCTCTGCCAAGGCTCAACCTCCTTGCAAGAGGCCCTCATACCACTGTGTGCCTCATCTCCACATGAACTGTATCCTTGCAATTTTGATCATTTAATGAATATCTGCTTCTCCTCTAGACTGTGCGTGCCATGAAAGCAGTCCTCTCCTTCTCTCCGGGACTAGCCTGGTGCCTGGCGTATGTGGGTG